TCTTTTTTTTCCCTAATGTTTAAAAAGAGAAGTCTTCATTTGAATTTGGCATGAACCTCTGGCAGTTCCCTGTCAATGTATTATTGCAGCCATTTATTAATTATCTCTGGCAAAATTTTACTTGCATATGATATTAATGCTATTGACAGATGATTTCTCATTCTCTTGGGTCACCTCTCATTGGAATGGGCACAAATATGGATCTCTTCCAATCAGTTGGCTGAGTAGCTGTCTTCCAAATTTCTTGGCATAGATGAGTGAATGCCTCCAGTGCTTCATCAATTTGTTGAAAATTTTCAATTTGTATTCCATCAATTCCCATAGCCGTGTTCTCTGTCAGTGCTTTGAGGGTACCTTGGACTTCTTCCTTCAGTAACATTGGCTCTTGATCATAAGCTATCTCTTGAAATGGTTGAACACTGTCCATTTCTTTTTGGTGATTTTAGATGGATCTTGGAGGATGAAAGCTGCATCCTAGAACTGGAGGGAACATCTCCAACCAGAAAGCCGACCAGGGGCAGGAAAGGCTCTCCAGAATCATCTTGATATCACATAGCAACAATATCATAAAATGGAAATCACTCAAGTAATGAAAAACTACGGAAACATATAAAATATAAATGAATCTTAGCATCAATAATGCTAAGTCAATGAATCATGTAAAATTATAAATTCTAGTCAAATAATGAAAGCACAACAGATATAGACAACAATTTGCTCATCCATTCATTTAATGATGCACAATTTTTCAATTTGTTGCCATTATGAATAAAGTTCTTCTTTTAAAGTCTCTCTGAAAATCTCTCTCTTCATTTACCATTTATCAATTCCTAGAATATTAGTTATTGCATCAATATTTGTCTTCTGCACTTTTTTTCTGACATGAATTCTTTTCTCATTTATAAATGTGATTCCTTGTTTAAACTGTGTCATTATTCTCTGGTCACTTTAAAGATTTTATATTTCTGTTTGCATTTTATCAGTAAGTATGATATGCCTCAGTATGCTTGTCTTATTTCTACAATGTAAGAGATTTCTTAGTTTTCTGGATTTGGAAGTCAATTATTATTATTTTTTCAACATCAATGTATTTAATTGTATGCAAAATAGCATCAACCAAAACATTACAAAATAGAAAAACACATTTGCTCAAGGTTATTTCTTGAGGCCTTATTATAATAGCCAAATATTTTAAGACAGGTAAAATCAATCAAGGACTGAGAAAATAACAAACATTGATGAGGATATATCCCTCCAGTTACACTCAAACTGTCACATTTCTCTGAGCTTTGCCACATTCCTTACATTCATTGGGCCAATTCCCACTGTGAGTTCTCCCAATATGCATTATCATATACATGCTACTATGTGGGCAATGTCTGAAAAATTTGCACTCCTTACATTCAAAAGGTTTCTTTCCGCTGTAAGTGTTTACATGTTGAGTGAGGGAGGAGGCCACAGGAATGGTCTTCTTGCATTCAGATACTCACAGAATTCAAAAGGATTTTCTTCTATGGTATCTACTTGGTGCACAGTAAGACCTGGTATCAGGTTGCAGTTTTCTACACACTGGCTGCCTTCAGAACATTCACAGAGTTTCATGATTGTCCCAGTTCTGTTAAAAACAGGCAGTGAAAACATAAAATCGATAGTGTCCTCTTCAAACTCTCCCTTTAAACAAACAGACAATGAATAAAAAGGCAGTATCTTGTTGAAACAAATGCTTGCCCATCACAACATTAAAAAAGCATAGTGAATGTGCATGGCCATTCCGTGATTTGTTCCACGGTTTATCGAATACAACCACTATCATTCCCCTCCATTATTTTCCAATGTGTGAGGCTGGTCAAAGTGGTCAAGTGATAAATGCTTTAAATATATACATATATAGTTATGTGCCGTGGAGTTGGTTCTGACTCATAGCGACCCTGTACAAGGTTTCTGAGGCAGTAAATCTTGACGGGAACAGACAGCTTCATCTTTCTCCCATGGAACAGCTGGTAGTTCAAACTGCTGACCTTGTGGTTCACAGCCTGATTCATAACCACTACGCTACTATATATATATAGGTCCTGGTGTAGTATTAGCACTGCAGTGCTATGTTGATTTGAACCACAAAGTAGAATGACTTGGCATCATGAAACAGCAGGAATCCACCAGCTGAGTCTTGGAAAGCCAACACAGGGTTGCAGTAAGTTGGAATTGACTCAGCACACATATGTATCAGTATGTTTGAGGGCTTCAAACCACTTTGTAAAGACTGAGAAACTTCCAACACAAATAAGAGAAGTGTCCACATTGTACTACAATAAAATCTGCTGCCTAATAGAATTTGATTTGGTGAAGAAACAATCGTTGGTACTGCATTCAAGGATGGTGAGTACACCACCAATATAAACGTGTCACTCTCCACACTCCTGTCAATAATCCAAACACCTGCATGGATACCGAGAATCTTATATCTGAGACTTGATTACTGGTAGGCCTCAAAAGTCTCTCCTGGTTGTCATGGTGATCCTTCCAGCCATGTGATTCTGTGATTTCACCTGACATATGTAATGACCAGGTGTTATGAGTCAGAACCGACTCCATGGTACATAACAACAACAACAACAACAACAAGACCAATAAACAACATTCTTATCAATGGAAAAAAAGATTGAGGTTGTCAAGGACTTCATTCTTCTTGGATCAACTATCAACACTCACGGAAGCAGCAGTCAAGAGATCAGACAATGTATTGCATTAGGCAAATCTGCTGCACAGGAATGTTTTAAAGTGTTGAAGAGCAAAGATGTCAGCTTAAGGACTAAAGTGTGCCTGATCCAAGCCATGGTATTTTCAATAACCTCATATGGATGTGAAAGCTGGACAGTGAATAAGGAACACCGTAGAAGAATTGATGCCTTTGAATTACGGTGTTGGAGGAGAATACTGAAAGCGCCAAGGACTGCCAAAAGAACCAATAGATCTGTTTTGGAAGAAGTGCAGCCAGAGTGCTCCTTAGAGGTCAAGATGGCCAAACTTCATCTCTCATACTTTGGACAAATTGTCAGGAAGGACCAGTCTCTGGAGAAGGACATCATGTTTGGTAAGATGGAGCATCAGAGAAAAAGAGGAAGACCCCCATTGAGATGGATTGGCCAAGTAGCAGCATCCATGGACTCAAGTGTGGCAACAGTAGTGAGGTTGGCCCAGGATCGGACATTGTTTCATTCTGCTGTGCAAAAGGTCACTATGAGTCGGTGCTGACTCGATGGCACCAAACAACAACAACCAGTCTTCAGAAATTGCACCATTATATTCTCACTGGGTAACTTATCTCCATCATTAAGGTTTCCAGCCACTACTGATGCCAGGTTTCTGAAGGTTTCCATCATCATGTCTCTGTAGAGTTTTCTCTGAGCAGGGTTCAGTAGAGTCCACTCTTCTTGGGTGAAGACCACGGACACACCTTCAATGACCATTGTGCCCATTCCCGTGCTCCACCTTCCGGAAGTCTAAGAGCAGGTCCCCAACAGGATCTGGAGCTCTGCGGATTCCGGAAGAGGGACGGGAATGGACGCGAAGCTCCGGACATATTGGGAACAGTGCACAGCAGCCATCTGTGCCTCAAATCCTGGTCGTTTGTGGACCAAAGTCGCCGTCCTGCCCCAGGTGTCTGGATTCAGGTCCTCTTGGAAGTCAATTTTTAAAAATCAAATATTACGAAATTGTGGCATTATTAAAAAAAAAAAAAAAGTTTTTATTCCTATCTAACCATAATAAAGTGAAAGGGACCCTATGCACAACAGACAGAAACACTGCTTCGTTTTACACCATCCTCAAAATTCTTGCTAAGTTTGAGCCCATTGCTGTTGTCACTGTGCCAATCCATCTTTTGGGGGATCTTCTTTCTTTTCACTTTACCAGGCAAGATGTCCTTCCTTCCCCAGGGACTGGTTTCTATGGATATTATGTCCAAAGAATAACAAGAAAATCTCGTCATCCTGACTTCTAACTAACATTTTGTCTATACTTCTTCCAGCACAGATTTCTCTTCTATCAGTCTATGGTACTTTTAATATTCTTTTCCAACATCATAATTCAAATTCATGCATGCCTCTCTTGCCTTCTTTATTCATTATCCAACTTTCACATGTACATAAGGCAGTTGAAAATACCATGCCTTAGATCAGGTATACTTTAGTTCTTAAAATGTTTATCTTGGTTTTTTAAGGCTTTCAGTGGCATTATATTTGCCTAATGCAATAAGTCTTTGGATTTGTTTACTGCTGACTTCAGCAGTGATATCCCTCATTTCATGTCCCATTCTAAATATACCCTGAATTTCTGGTAACCTCTTGTTTATATATTCATGCAACTGTTATTTAATTATATTCATCAAAATGTTGTTTGCATGTGATATTAATAATATTTTTGATGATGTCCACATTCTGTTGGGACACCTGGTTTTGGAATGGGCACAATTTCTTCGTCAGGTATCTGTCTACCATAGTTCTTGGCATAGATGAATGAGTAATATCAGTACTACATCAGTTTGTTGCAAAATTTCCATTTGTATTCAATCAGTTCCTGGAGTCTTGATTTGTTTGTCCCCAAAATCATTTAATGATACAGAAAGTATAAAAAGAAGATGGAAGGAATACAGAGAATCACTATACCAAATAAAGATGGTCCACATTCATCCTATTGAAGAGGGAGCATATCATCAAGAACTAATGGTACTGAAAGAAAAAATCAGAGCTGCACTGAAGGCATTGATGAAAAACAAGTTTTCAGAAATCATGGAATGCAAATGGAAATCTTTTAGCAAACTGATGTGGCAATGTATTGAGCAATGATCCACTGCAATTAATAAAGTTTTCAGAATCTAACCATTCAGAAGTGTTCCCTATCCCCTTCTTCTTAGTCTGTCTTTGTTTGGAAGCCCTGATGAAACCACTTCACAATGGGTGAATCTGATGGTATTTAAAATAATAGTGGCATAGCTTCCAGAATCAGAGCAACACATAAGCCATCATAGTAGGACAACCTGAAAAAAAGTTATGATTTTTATTTCCAGAGGATAAGCACTAGATTGCAAAGTCAGTTTGAACTGCAAGGTCAATGGTTCAAACTCAGCAGCCAGTCTTGGAAACCTTATACAGGCCACTGTGAATTGGAAACAACTTGACAACACTTACCAACAACTGCAACAACAACAAATACTGGGAGATATAATGAGGATTTTCCTAAGTGCTTTGTTAACCTGTATATGAATGAATAGGTGAGAAACTCTACTCCTGAGCTATTATTTCTAGACATTCCTCATAACTTCTTAGCCTCTCATTCAGTCTTTTTCTCCCCAGATTGGCAGCTATTAATTAATGAGAATATTAAAAGAATTTAACAATTAACTTCTTTTCTAATAGCTACTTAAGTTGTACTTAATATGTTGAAGGTCATCTCACATTATTAGTCATATATCATTTGTGAAGATATGATCCAGGTATGTTTAAGGAAGAAGTTCACATTCACATAGCTATCACTTTTGCTTTTATTTGCTTTCCTTCAAAAAATTCTATCATATATTAATACCCATTTTCTTCAGTTTTCTTTACATGCTAGTCAATTTTGGTTTTAGAACTCTGGCAATTAATTTTAAACTTCATATGATTTTTCTCTCATGTAACAATTTGATTCCCATATATTAAGAAAATGGATTTTTTAAAATTACTGTAATACAAATAAATTATATCCTTAGTCATACATGCAGTCAGTATCTATGCATCTCTAATGACCTAGGAAACATTTAAAAAATACTTCTTTCATAAAATTTAACAATAAAATATTTTATAATTTCATTGATAAAAAACATTATATTTCCGGTTTTGGCAGTGGCAGAGCAGAGTAAGGTAGGACAGGCTCCATGGGAGCAGGACTGAAAACCCTGAGAAACTGCTTTCACAGAAGGGCACTAGCGCTCTGGATCTAGCATAAGGTGTGGTCATCAGTTTCCCACACCTGCTGGTGGAAAAGTCATGGTATAAAGGAAAGTATTGTGATTTAGGAATCAATTGAGACACAGGACTCCCTCTGAAACCACCACACCCTAGTGGAATTCAGAGGGTGGGGCTACAGCCAGACCGGCACAATGAATCTGAGCTAAAAGTGGCAAAGTAACATTTGCAAAAGGAGGTGTGGGGGGATTCTACAAATTTTATCTTCTTTTTCCATGTCACACCTTCTTTGCACAGAGCAGATGCCTTCAGGAGGGTTGGTGCACCCCCCAAAAATTCCAGTGTTGAGCCCACAGTTTTACCACGGCACAGAGAGAAAGAGCCCCATTGGTCCCAAGGACAAATACTTTGGCTGCTGCTTATAACTTCTGCCTCTGGGTCCCAACCCTAAAGTTAACTTGTGCAGGACCCTTTACTCCAGCCTATCCAGCAAGAAAAAAGCAGATTTGGCCTGACAAACAAACCATATGAACAACCTGTAAAACCCCAACATAAATGGACACAAGTATTTTGAGAATTATGCTGTGCACATGCAGATACCTAATTGACCTTCAGAGACAAAAATAGTAGGTAATCTTTCTCCCATTAACTTGTCAATATCTATCTCTGTACCTATATTGTGGTGACTAGAGTAGGGGCCTGAGTGAGTGGACACCCCCACCTACTTCTGGAGGCTGCTATGGTACACACACACTGCCTGTGTAGCAAGGTGACTGGCCAGTTGGTCACAGTTTTATTTTTGTTTCAAAGTGGTGGTTTTTGTCTCTGATTTTATATTGCTACTGCTTTTAGTCCTTTTGATGAAACATTTTTCCTAAAGGTAGGAGCTTTTTCTCCATATGTTACCCAAGAAGAGACAGCAATTGTGGCCATATAGCTAAGCTACAAGCATATCCCATAATATTCCACCACTGAGACAAGAGCCAATAATAGCTTCTAAGCATTACATGCGATAAGGGGAACATATATCCTGATCATGTCCATCAGGAGACACCCAGTAAGCTTAATAACACAGCAACAAACATCCATTTAAGCATTAAAAACCTACATAACTACTGGAAATGACCAAGAAAACACAACAAAAGGTCTCAAAACATGTCCAAAGCAGAAAACAGTCACTGAGACAAATGAGCTAGAGACAGACAAGGGCTTTCCAGAAGAGGAAGAGCAGCTTTGGATTTGCCTGAGAAGAAATTCAGAACAATGATATGGAAACAAATAAAAATGCTGCAAAAAAGGGTGGAGGAAAACAAGGAAGAAATTAGGAAAGTACTACAAGAGCAATCAAAAAAGATCGATATAGCACTGGAAACAATTCAAAACCTGCAAAAAAGCGGTCCAGATGATTAATAATAAAGTATCAAAATTGGACAATACACTGAAAAGGAAAGGAGAATAATTGAAGAAATGAAAGCCAGAACCAGCAAGCAAGAAGGCAAATTTCTCATTACTGCTAGATAGAAAAGCAAGCAGAAAAAGGACAAAAAAAATCTGAAGAGGGTCTAAGATTCATGCTGAATAGCATGAAAAGGAACAACTTAAGAATTGGCATTCTGGAACAGGAAGAATCAGAGAAGTCCACAAAGGAGATAGTTGAAGAGTTTCTGGAAGAACATTTCCTTAATATATTGAAAGATGAGAATATAAATATTCAAGAAGTCGCACATATCCCAGGAATGATAGATCCCAAAATAAAATCACCAAGACATATAATAATCAAGCTCTCAAAATCAAAAACAAGGAGAGAATCCTAAAAGCAACCAGGGAAAAGAGAAGTGTTACTTACAAAGACTAGCAAATAAGATTAAGCTCTGACTTCTCAGCAGAAACCATGCAGACAAGTGAAAATGGACAGACATATATAAAATCTTAAAAGAAAAAACTGCCAACCAAGAATCATCTGTCTACCAAAACTGTCAATCAAATACAAAGGTGCAATCATAACATTCCAGGATAAACAGAAGCTAAGAGATTTTGTCAAAGGCAATCCAGCACTTCAAAACACCCTAAATGGAGTTCTTTGGATGGAAAACCAACAAGAACAGACAACAACCAGACATTAACAGGCGTGGCAACAACACCAGAAACTCAGACAATGAATAGCATAGTCTAGAACAGAACAAAGTTACAAAAATGAATTAAAAAGAACTGGGAGGTCAACCAAAGATCAAAATAATAACAATGTAAAAGAAGGGGAAAATGTAGGAACAGAGATCCAAGTGGTAAGGTGGTCAGGTAGATTACAGGGTACAATAGATTATTTTAAATGGAGAGAAAAGTTAATAGACTATAAGGAAGGTAGCCCCAAAACAAGTTAATACTTCACAACTTACCATGAAAATGAACTTTGAAGCAGAACAAGCGAACATGAAAACTAAGAAGAAACCAACAAGAAATAGCACACACAAAAAAACACAAATCAGCATAAGAAGGCATGCAGAACAAAGGAACGGACAGCACTAACTAAAACTTAA